CCCTTTCATGGGCGACCTCTTCCTCCCAGTTTGTGACAATTCAGAGTCCCTGAGGAGCTCTGGCCCTGCCATGAGAAAGGGCCTCCTTTGAGTCCACTCTGTGTAAGAAATTTCCTCACTCATGTATTGCTACACTTGCAGAATGGAGGAAGAGGGTGTCTGTCTATCTGTCTGTACATCAAATTTTCTGTGTTAGCCACTAAGCTCTTTGGGTACAATTTTCCACAAATCATGGGGGAAATGGCTGAGTGGTGCCTCCTGATATCCTAGTTGTCCATGGGTTTGCATTTTTAGAAAGGATGAGCAGATCACAGAGGAATCTTCTATGTTATATTTGGAATTGACAAAACTGCCCCAGACACCAAGCCCCTCGGGCACAGTGCTGGTCTGCGACACAGAAAATTTACATACCATACAGAACAAATTGGCAATAGGTGCTTTGGCACTAACACGGGTAATTCCTTAGCTGTTCATGCAACATTCAAGCTTCACTCCACATGACCACGACATTAGATTACTGGCCAACAGTTGATTTTTTACATTGAAATATTTTTTTTCCCTTGGTTTTCCAAGACAGGGTTTCTCTGTGTAGCCTGGCTCTCCTGGAACTTGCTCTGTAGACCAGGCTGGCCTCAAACTCAGAGATACAACTACCTCTGCCTCCCGAGGGCTGAGCTCCGTGTGTAGCCATCACTGCCTGCTAACATTTTAATAATCCTTAAAAAGGTAAGGTCCTAGCTACATTTTCTACATCTTCCAGAACCAATATGCTAAATGTACCAACACTTGGTGCCTGAGGTAGAGATTTTACTGAAGAAGACAATTTTTTTTAAAGTTTCAGTTTTTGGAAGCACATGGTAGCCAACCCTGAAAAGCAGAATTTAACCTTTTTTTTTTTTTTTTTTTTTTTAGAGAGATCATGCCGTTTATATAAACGTATATATCCGTTGCATAAATGTTTATACAGCTGGATTGAGAGAGCAGTGGGTGCTTCTCTAACAACATTGTTCTCTAAACAGTACGGATCAAACCCACTAGACACTGTCATTATCAGAACATCAGAGACACGAGAACATAGAAAGTTTTCAAGTCTCTTGTGACGTGTGGCTGGGAAGAGTGGTAAACGTGGAGCTCAGCCTAGCGGCTCTTACATCTGATGGTGTCTGTGATCTAGTCTCATCTATCATATACAGACTAAGTGGAAATTCTTTCCGAGCTGCACTTTCCAAGGCGCAGGGGCTTTATTTTGAGGTGGCCAGACTTTAAGAGGTTACACGATTGTAAGATTTGTATAGTTATGAAATTATTCTCATACTGGAAACTTTCAATTAAAATGATTGGGGGGATTAATATACATCTATAATCCTAGCACTCTGGATGAGTTCAAGGTCGTCCTTGGCTACAACACAGTTTGAGGCTAGCTTGGGCTACATGAGACCTTGCTTCATAAACCCAAACCCAAACAAAAACCCACACCCAAACAACCGGCAGTTGTTCTTTTTTTTATAACAGGAAAAACCCTTTGATTTACAAAAGGGCATTAAAAAAGATATCCTATTTGCCCTTTACTGAAAGCTGGCTTGCCTACAATGTATCAGCACCTACACGTTACTTTTAGAAGCAGACCATCTCTCCAAAGACAGAAGCATAAGCATACACACGTAAACTGGACATGCAACTCAGATGTCTGACTAACAGGATTAAGACTGACTTCCTTCCAAACCCTCAGATGCCCATGACATGAAGAATCAAAGCACCTCAACACCCCATTGGTTTGACCATGCTTTTGAAGGTTCCAGATCAGATATACCCAACTGATGATAATTCTGGTTTGGGGCTCCACTCCCCAAACCTGAGGATTGAACCCAGGACCTATGTGCCAGGCAAAAACATTTCACCTCTGAGCTGGAACTCCAATCCCAATAGTTGATTTTGTTTTTGGATATAGGGTTTCTGTTTAGCTCTGGCTGTCCTGGAACTCAACTCTGTAGACCAGGCTGGCCTTGAATTCATAGAGATCTGCCTGCCTCTGCCTCCCCAGGGCTGGGCTTACAAGCGTGCACCGCCACCACTGAGCAAAGCCTGTTCTTGTGTACCTGACTACAAGATTCTGGCTAAATCAGGTGTGGGCACACCCGAACCACTGCTGCAGCAGCCAGGTTCATCAGGGCCTCCACCCTCACGTTGGCTTCTCAAGCATCCAACCGCTATTTGATAAAAACATGTATGGGCAGAGTCTGTGTAGAATCTGAACAGGTCAAGCCAGATACTGGCAGAATCGTTTTATTCCTGTTTTCAGCATGACTTTCATGTGTTTATTCTTAAAGGTTTTTTTCATTATTATTTTATGTGTATTTTGCCTCTGTGCATGCCTGTGCACCACGTGTGCATGTGTCTGCAGAGAGAAGGCAGCAGCGGATCGTTAGTTGGTCGTTAGCTGCCATGTGGGTACTGGGATTTGAACCTGTCCTCTGGAAACACAGTTAGTGATTTTATTGGTTTCTCACAACAGGGTTTCTCTGTGTAGCCTTGGCTGTTCTAGACTTTGTAGACCAGGCTGGCCTCGAACTCACAGAGATCTACTTGCCTCTGCCACCCCGAGTACTGGATGACAGGTGTGAAACACCAAGCCCTGTTTTCTTTTCTTTTTTGGTTTTGCAGCCAGTGCTCTTAACTGCTGACCGTTCTATCCAGCCTCAGGATCATGTCATGAGGGGTAAATATTGTATTTTGCAAAAGTCTGTGTTCAAAATCTGGAAGAAATATGCTAAGAAGGCATCAGGAGTTGGGAAATCCTTGTCATGATTAAAACTTTAGCAAGAGGGTAAAAATAACCTTTTACAGCGTATACACATAAGGATGTGACCTAGAATAAGTTTCTATAGACTCTGAGAAGCTTTAGAATCGGCTAAACAAAACAAATATTAAAATTAAAAAACAAAAACAAATTAAAACAGCAACAACAAAAAACCATTCTCATCTTAATGAGTCAAGATGAAGCACTGGGGCATTGTTAGAAACCAATGGATGCTCCTGGCACCAAATGCCTTTGCCTGGTTCTTTCTGGCATTTCTGCTTGACTCCTTCCCTCATCATTCCAATTCCCAACCTTTCCACGGGCAGGCTACTCTGCTCTCCCTTAGGCTCTGGGTAGATGGCTGGGAGTGTGTGTGCATTTTCTGTCCTTCAGTGAAGACATCTGCCAGCAGGGCAAGAACCAGGGGTTATCTTAGCTAGACTTAGGTGATTAAAATCTTGCCAGTCTTATTAAAATTATATGCATTGCCCTATTAATCAACTGGTTTGAAAGGACTGTTTAACTATTAATTTCTCATGATATATAAAAATATATTATTTTCTGAAAAGTTCTCTTTAGCTTCACCTGCTAAAAAGGTCAGAGACAATGAACCTTTAAACTAGGCTAAAGTTTAAAGATCTTTTAAAAAGCAAATGTACATAAACAAACATCTAGAGGATAAAATGGGTTTGGGGAGGGAAGGAAAGGGCAACAGCAAAGGCAAATGAGCAAACACTGGGTACTGTCCAGTGCTCTAAATAACAGAGAACTGGCATTTCAGATATTTTTTTTTTTCAAGACAGGTTTCACCGTGAAGCCATGGCTTCATGTCCTGGAACTTACTTTGTAGACCAGGCTGGCCTAAAACTCACAGAGATCTGCCTGCCTCTGCCTCCAGAGTGCTAGGATTAAAGGCGTGCACACTACTACCTGGCAGCACTTCAGATTTAAGAAAGCAAAACGTAGTACTTCCAAAATTTCAAAATTAGAGGTGGCGTGCAGAAGCTTTCTATTAGAAAGAGCAACACACCCACAGAAAACGCTTGCTGCTGGACATAAAGTTCTACTCACCTCACCAAGTTCTATGTAGACTCAGCACTTCAAGACAAACATGAGCCTGATGAGAGCAAAGCTCTCCAATGTGGTATAAGACTGAAGATGGCAAGAAAACACTGCAAATCACTAGCTTCATGAACATTCATCCTTGCCATTAACAAATATATGTATATGCTAATAGGAAGTAGATACTGAACTCATCTCGAAGAGTAGCCATTCAGACAGAAACTTCCAATGGCAGACATGGCAAACCATATACATTTTACAGCAAACTATTAAAATAAAGCATCTGGATTTAGGCCTCTTGCCATTTCAGTACAAGTAACTGAGTTTGGTTTTGTTTTGTTTTTAAAGATTTATTTATTATTTATACAGTATTCTGCCTGCATGTGTGCCTGCATTCCAGAAGAGGGGACAAGATCTCATTATAGATGGTTGTGAGCCTCCACATGGTTGCTGGGAATTGAACTCAGGACCTTTGGAAGCACAGCCAGTGCTCTTAACCTGTGAGCCATCTCTCCAGCCCAGCTTTGAGTACTCTTTAATCTGAGAATTTTTGTTTCTATTTCTAATGTTAACAAATATAGAAAAGATTCATGACCAGCTTTTCCATAAACCAGTTGGCTTTATAGACAGAGACTCAGGGCAAGAGGGACCGCTTCCCAGCTTCCTACAGTTCATTCTCAGGTGTCACATGTGCTTCTGCTTCCTGGGAGCAACAGCTCAGACCACAGCACCGTCATGCTCATTGGTGTGTGCCGGACCAGGACATCTTTGCTTATCAGTTTTTTAAAAGAACATAAGTCAGAGACACACCATCTAAGCACATAGCAGCCATCCTGGGTGTTTAAAGGGAATTCGTAGTGAATCATTTATTTCCTCTGAAAATATCTGCCAAGAATGGCTACAACTCAGTCACAGGAAGGAGACTCCAAGATTCCTCAGGTAGAAGAAAGATCTCAGCCTCTTTCTGATAAGGATCTTCTTCCAAAGACTCAAAGACTGGTATTTCTCCCTCAGTTTCCCTACATAACTTAATTTATTAAGTGCACCATTCTCCTAGAGGTCTAATCACAAGGTAACATTTGCTAAACAAAGTAAGAACACTAGCCTTTAACAGGCATTATTTACAAGAATTTTTTCCTTTAATATAAAAAAGTATAACTACAGCAGTCCAATGTACAAATACAAAAAAAAGTTATCATACTAAAAAAATGTACCATAATACTGTACATACAAAAACTGTTCAACAAGAATGATTTAAATATGTCTGTTCTTCTCTGGATCCGGAAGACACAAACGTAAGGTTCTGCAACTGCATTATTGCTGAGAACATGTGCCTGGGAACACTGTTTCCCTCTCCCCACTCATCCCAGCTCCACCTTCAGAGTCCCCTGAGTTTGGATCGTGAGCCAGCAGCATCCCTGAAGATAACCAGAGCCAAATGTTTACTCAATGGAAGTCATTATTCAGCGAGTCGCTGCTTACCATAAACTATGAAAACCCAAGTTTTAAGCCCAACCAAGATTAAATCCAGACTGAGGTCTTCCCATCCCCTGATTTGCTACTAACACTGCTTTTGTTGGACCCAGATTTGGACCCCACTTTGGCCTTCTTTTCCCGAGGACCATGGGGATTGTTCTGGTGATGGTAGGCCTGGATTGCTAGATCCAAGCGCTCCTGAGCCATTCTGATCTCCCGCTGCAGAGTCTCCAGATCAGCAGGGAGGTGCTCTTCCTGGCTGCCATACTGCTGTTCCTGGGCGATATTGGCTTTGTTCTGCTTGTAGGCAATCTTGGCATTGGACAGCTCGGTGTACTGGATTTGATCTGGTTTGACAGCAATGTTATAGCCAGGGGGAGCAGATGGTGTATTCCAAGTGAAAGGATAATTATAAGCACCCGGATCGTCAAGTTCCCTCCTTTTACTGTTTAGTGAGTCTCGAATGGTCCCAAACCCTAAATGAAGCATCTCCCAAATGTTAAGCAACAGGCAGAGGCCTGTGACACCATACATTATCAGAAGGAAGATGGTCTTTTCAGTAGGTCTAGAAATAAAGCAGTCTATCTTATGAGGGCACGGAAGCCTGCTGCACACATAAAATGGGTGGACTTGGAAGCCATACAGGAAATACTGCCCTATCAGAAAGCCCACCTCGAACACAGTCCTGGCCAGCAGCTGCAGCACATAGATTTTCATGAGCCCATCCTCCCGAATTCGGCGGCGGCCATCATGCTTAGGTTTTGGCTGGCTCTGATCTTTATTTTCTTTTTCACTTTCTAGCTCCATTTCTGGATACATCATAGGATCCTCTTCATGGTCCTCTTCTGTTTCTTCCAGAGCCCGGTGCTGTTTCCAACGCATGGCATAGGGTTTGCTCCGCGCTGCTTTCTTGTCTGCCTCACCATGCTCCATTTTGGCGATCTTATGAATAGCATATCCCAGGTACATCACAGAGGGGGTTGCAACCAGGATGATCTGGAACACCCAGAAGCGCACGTGGGAGAGTGGCGCAAAGGCATCATAGCAGACATTCTCACAGCCCGGCTGCTCTGTGTTGCACACAAATTTGCTTTGCTCATCGTAATAAATGGACTCTCCTCCTACAGCAGTTAGGACAATTCGAAAGACAATCAGCACAGTGAGCCAGATCTTCCCTACAAATGTCGAATGGTTGTGGATCTCCTCTAGCAGTCGAGTCAGGAAGCTCCAGCTCATGGTGGTGAAATTGGTTTGTCCTGGCAGAGGTGAAAAAGTCCAAGCAGGGGGAATCAACAAACATTATAAATAGTTTTCTATTTTTGGTGCCCATCCCCAACAAATAATCAAACCCTAACAATGTAAATTTTAATTTACAGTTTTTCTAGGGACTTTGTAGCCCTGAAATGTAACTTACTTGAAGACTCATAGTAGAAAAAACATTAGAATTTAGTTGTAGCTCACTCTTAACAGCTTTAGGTGACACAGCACACCTTACTCCACGTCTGGACAAAGACGGTCTTGTTTGCTTTCCTAGTTCATTGAGATTTATTTCTCAGGTTGCAGCCATTGTGTTTACATATATTCGTGTGTAATGGGACATCGTCGTGCGATACACATAACAAAATAACGCACTGGGGTAGCTTTCTGGTCCAGTCAGAGTTACCACTGAGAACATAAAAATACCCTTGGGTTGGACTTCATCATGAAGAAGCAGTTTACTAGAAGGCTTAAGTTTTAGACTAGCTGACAAAGTGTTCAAGTAATTAAGAAAGCCTAGATTGGCAACACACCCTTTAATCCCAGCACTTGGGAGACAGGGCAAGTGTATCTCTCTGAGTTCAAGACTAGCCTGGTCTACAAATTTGTCCTGGGACAGTCAGAGATAGACAGTGAGAGCCTGTCTCAATTTTTTTTTTCTTCAAAAGTAACACACAGCTGCAAACAACTGACAACGATGCACACTAAAAAGAGAAAGGAACCAGGGAAGGAGAGTTCCCTGCTACACCACTGGCACAGCAGAGCCTGCCTTTATTTTTTGTTGTTTTGTTTTCGAAGCAGGGTTTCTCTGTGTAGCCTTGGACTTGCTTTATGGTCCATGCTGGCCTCGAACTTAGAGATCCACCTGCATCTGCCTCCCTGAACACTGCGATTACAGGCGTGCACCACCACACCTGGCTCCCTGGTTTTACAATCAATGCTACAATCAATGCTCTTACGACAAATATTTTTCCTTATGGTAGATGCAAAAAAATATTTGCTAAACTGATCTATGAGAATAACAAATCTAACTAGTTGCAAACCCACTAAAATACAGTATTTTTGTTTTTGTTTTTTGAGACAAGGTCTCACTATGTAGTTCTGTCCTGGAATCTGCTATGTAGCTAGCCTCAGACTCACAAAGACCTGCCTACAGAGTGCTGGGATTACAGGTGTGCACCATGCCCAGGTCTTATTCCCCCCCCCCCCAGGTCTTATTTTTGATTTTTTGTTTTTGTTTTTCAGACAGAGGATCAATTGTTGTTTACCTCAATTGAGGCTGACCTCTGAACTCAAGATTTTCCCACCTCAGCCTTGGAATGCTAGGATTACATTACAGCATTACAGAATTTTTGTTACCAACCTACCTTTAAAAACAGCATTTTAAAGGGTAATTTTATTCTGAGCTACTGAGATCTAGAATCCATGTCACATGTTAAATTTTTATTGTAATATTTGACACAAAGTACATGTAAATTTTCAACTCCTCCCTCTCCCCCTGCACTTGCAGATTATGGTAAATCACCACCACCAAGTAAGGTCAAACACTTACCTGTTATCCAGAACGTCTGTTACCCAAACCTTTCTTTCAGACACAATATTTTGTTTGTTATTTTCCCAAATTCTCTCTGGAAGGAAAAAAGAAAACAATGGGTCATAAGCTTCCTCCCACAGAAAACAGTAAATCACTACTGTGTCATTTTTAGGAAGAAAAAGTTTTCTGTGTGTTACAGGAGTCACTCAGAATGAGATGGAAACAGGCCTGACCACTGTTTTCTCCTCCCAAAATAAGGGACAGGAGAAATTAACAGTGACCTGAAAGTTTCTAAATCATAAGGTTCTACAAAAACCTGATAGGGGCTGGACAGATGACTCATGGTTAAAAATCACTGGCTGCTTTTTCAGAGGACCTGGGCTCAGTTCCCAGCACCTACTTGGAGGCTCACAACTGTCTGTAACTCCAGTTCCAGGGAATCCAACAACCACTTGTGGCCATTGCAGGCACCAGGAAAAGAAAAGAGTGGTAGGTGTGCTATGTACTAGTATGTACGTACATACATACATACATACATACATACATACATACATACATACATACATACATACATGCAGACAAATGAATAAAATTAATTTAAAAATAAAAGAAAGCCTAATAGGAAAAATGAGTCATTTGTGAAAATGCAAAACTGCTGGGCATGGTGGAGTATAGCTTTACTCCCAGCATTTAGAAGGAGGGCAGAGGCAGGCAGATGTCTTAAGAGTTCCAGGCAAGCCAGAACTCAAAGTGAGACCCTGACTCAAAAGAAACAGGAAAGGCCACCAAAGAACTTTGGCAACTACAGCAAACAAAACAAAACACCAGCAGCAGGCAAGGTTAAAGCAGGCACCAACAACCCTGCCTCTGTCACAGCCAGTACTTCTCCTTGGGATTTGAGTAGCCCAGGCGGAGCAAGCTGTTCAGCTGAAACACCCAACAGCTGGCTCAGTTACTGAGCCACCCTTCTCCACAGGAGGTGATTTACACATCCAAAGGCTCACAAAGTCAGAGAGAGAAAACACCTGGACTGTGATTAAAAACAAAATAAAGTGAATTTGAGGCCAGACTGGTTTCCAGAGAATTCCAGGCTAGCAGGCTACATAGTGAGACTCTTGTTTCAAGACAACAATACAAACCAATGGAGGAGAAATAACTGTCCATTAAGTAAACTCTGTAACTCTGAAATGCTAGGGCCAAATGTCATCCATAAGGCACCAACTTTTTTTTTACTTTGATTATTTAATAAATAAAATTAAAACAATTTCTGAGGCATGGTCCAGTGGTACATAAACTTCAATCTCAGCACTCAGGAGGCAAAGGCAGCACATCTCCCTGAATTTAAGGCCAGCTAGTTGATATAGAAAAGACCGTCTCAAAACCAAAAACAAAAAAAGAACCCCTGAATGCTCATAGTAAATTTAAGTGGAACTTAGGATTTTGCTGTTGTTGTTTTAATAACTTTTTTTTTTTTTTTTTTTGTCCATTGGTGTTTTGCCTGCATGTATGTCTGTGTCAGGGTGTCAGATCCCCTGGAACTGGAATTACAGACAGTTGTGAGCTGCCATGTGCTACTGGGAATTGAATCCCAGTAAGCACTGGAAGAACAGCCAGTGCTTTTTAACTGCTAAGCCATCTCTTCAGCTCAATTGTTGCTTTAAAATATTGGGGGAGTCGGATTATAGAAAAAAGCTAAAATGGTTTATTAAACACTCATGAAACAAAAATTAAAAGAGGTATAGACATAGCATATGTCAAATTTTACATGTGAAAAGCTGTCACAAGAAGCCAAACCAGTGGAAGACAAGGCAAGTTCAGGAGCAGGGTCCCACTATGTAGCTGTCTTGTCTACTTGCTATTTTAGAAGATTGGCCCTCAACCTCTGCCTCCTGAATGCTGGAATTAAAAATGCACCAGCACATCTGGCCAAATTTGGGGGGTTTTGTTTGTTTTGTCTTGTTTTTTTGAAACAGGGTTTCTTCTTATAGCCTTGGCTGTCCTGGAACTAGCTCTGTAGACCTTGCTGGCCTTGAACTCGGGACCACCCAGCAAATCCCCCACACACACACACACACACACAGGGTTTTTCTGTGTGCAGCCCTAGCTGTACTGGAACTCTGTAGACCAGGCTGGCCTCCAATTTACAGAGATCTGCCTGCCTCTGCTGCTGAGTACTGGGATTAAAGGCACGTGCCACCACCAACCGGCCCAATTTTTGTCTTTTATTTGTTTTCATTATTTTTAACCATATGTGTGGTAGCACACATATGTGTGGATGTCTGTGAAAGCCAAAGGCAGTCAGAGCTCCCTAGTGCTGAGTGACAGGGGTACTAGGAACCTAATTCAGGTACCCTGCAAGAACAGTACACCTTATTATTAACTGCTGAGCCAATTCTCCAGCCCCCAATGTCCATCTTTTTACATAAGTACTTACATCTACATGCTTCTGCAACAAGGAGCCACCTCTGCAGCCTAACAAATGAGTAACTTTAAGGATTTATAGCTATGAAAATATTTCCCAAAAGATCCACATTTCAGAAAATAACCCAACCTTTTTTGATGGAAGAAAGTGTAAGATACGAAGCAGCCATTTTAACACACCCAGAATTGAGTCTTGTACACTAGTTAAAACTGAAAGCTTAGAAATGCTGAACCAGGCCAAGTGCTGAGGCTGTGGCTCAGTTGGTAAAGTGTTGGCAGGCCTAGCATACACAAAGCCCTGATCTGATCCCAATACTACATAAATGGGACATGGTGGCACACACCTACAACTCGGCATTTGAGATATGGAAGCAGGAGAATCAGAAGTAAGTTCAAGTTCACAGCCAGCCTGAGATACATGAGACCCTGGGAAGGAGAGTAGAAGAATGGGAGAGACTGTTGAACCTTACTTTCCGTACGTTTTTTATACACAGCATCCTGTATCTACACCCTAAAGCCTTTGGGGCAGGTCTCCCTATAGTTTATGTTCTTGACTCCAAAATGTCTGAGAAGAAAATCTTGATATTTGGTCCTCTCTATATATAATGCACACAAATTATTTCATCCTTCTTAATTCTGTAGAGGTGAGATATACCAGGGTCATTAAGAAAAACGACCACACAAATAGCCTGGAGAGATGGCTCAGAGGTTGAGGACATCTGCATAGAACAACAGCACCCACACGGCGGTGCGTGACCTTCCATAAAGCTCCAGTTCCATGCGGTCCAGTGTCCTGGTCACTGGGCACACAGGAAACACTGACATACATACATACAAAGCATCCATACACATGAAACAAAACTTCTGAAAGAAACCACCCCACACACAAAAACCACAACCAAAATCCCTTAAAATATTTTGGCTTTCCATTATTTCTTCCAGTCTTTATCAATGTGAATATTTAAAAAGAGACACTGGCTTCTCTAAAGAAAAACAAACAAACAAAAAAACTCACTTGCTAAGAACAGGAAAATTTCAGAGTTTAAGATCTTAAAATGTAGAATAAACCAACCTAAAGCTTAAAAAAAAACAAAAACAAAAACAAAAACTCTGCAAGGCTCCCTGTGACCAGGAGGGACAGAATCACTGACCAGGACATTGAGAAGTTAGGACATTCGGTCTGGGCACAGCAGCCTGAGACAACTGTTCAGGGGGATATACAGACTGTGTACATACCAAGTCCTGAGAGCTGTGCCCGCACTGGGGGCACACCAAACACATTATCAAGATTATTATGAGGCCTCAACTTTTTATCTTGTCACCTCAACTGGACTGGGAGCCCCTAAAAGACAAACACCAGACACTTACCTCAGCATCTAGACCAGGAAGATACATTTTAAGTGCTAAATAAACATTTGATCAACAAGTGAACAGACAAATTTCTCCAGTACTCGCTTTATACCTTTGGTTACCTTTTATACTTTTCTTCTTGATTTCCATTTCATTGCTGTCTCTTTCTCTTTTTTTAGACAGGGTTTCTCTGTGTAGCCTTGGCTGTCCTGGACTCCCTTTGTAGACCAGGATGGCCTCAACCTCACAGAGATCCGCCGGCCTCTGCCTCCCTGAGTGCTGGGATTACAGGCATGCGCAGCCCCTGCAGGACTCATCAGTCTGTCTCAAAAACAGAGTAAGCAATCTACTCCTTTAATCCCAGTAGAGACAGATAGACCTCTATGGGTTCAAGGCCAGCCTGGTTTACACAGCCAGTTCCAGCACAGTCAGGGCTACACAAGGAAAACCTATTTAGAAAAAAAGCAAAAAAACAAAAAAAGAAAGGAGAAAGTGAGTAATCTCATAAGGCAGTGACCTTTGATTGTAGATGGCTTACACAGAAGACAGGATGCTGTACAGACTCTAGTGTCAGGATAGAAGTTAAACATTTTTAATTTCAAGTTTCAGTTTCTAATCTTTGTTCAAAACTTTCAGAAACCCATTAGTTTGTTTTCCTGAGATTTTGGCTCTGGCTCTTTAAAACCTGTACCTTAAAACATTTGATCCCAGCCCAACCCCAGATTTTCAGAGGCTCTCATATTTGTTTGAGAAAAAAAGCCAAGACATAGAAATGTGATCAACTTTCTCTATTTATTTATCTACATAGGGTGTTTTTTGTTGTTGTTATTGTTTTTAATTTCATCATCTCTGTGTTAGCCCTGGCTAGCTCAGACCTTACTGTTTAGGCCAAGCTGTCCTTGAACTTGTGACAATCCTACCTCTGTCTTCTGAGTGCTAAGACTACACAGCCAAGAATCACCAAGCTCAGCTTCTTCTCCCTACCCCTAGAATAAAATAAAGTTTACTGAAAAAAGTTCAAGGGAACAGTGGGCTGAGCAGTAACTACAGAAGACAGGATGCATCTTTCTCTTTTTTCTTTTTGTAAGAAGGGTCTCACTTTGTAATCTAGGTTGCCTGAGCTCTCAGGAATCCTATTGATTGAGTATCCTGAGCGTTGAGATCACATGTGTGAGCCACTACACCCTGCTTCTTGGCTTTCTTCTATTTAAAAGCCAGGTGTGTGTGAGTGTGTGTGTGTACATGTGTGTGCGCATATGTGTACTTATACAATTAACCGTTCTGGCTGCTCTTCCAGAGGACCTGAGTTCAAACAGGTGGCTC